TTCTTTCTTTCTTTCTTTCTTTCTTTCTTTCTTTCTTTCTTTCTTTCCTTTTTAACCTACGATGGACTCTGGGAGGCGCGGGAACAGACAGGCGCCGCTCCTCCAAAGAGAACCTGGAAAAGGCTGGAGGAGCCTTTGGGGCGAAGATCCCCAGGGACACCTGTCCCCTGGTGTCACCAATAAGTCCTAAACTCCAGCGTCAGCGACGCCTGCTTGCTGTAGCTTTTCTTTGGGCTTGGTGAAATGTGAAGAGTGGGGTCTTCAGGAGTGCACATGTGAGCCCGGAGGGGCACAGCCAGCAAGAGTGGTCTGAGGGGAGGTCCTGCACCCAGGGCTTTATTCGCACAGACCCAGATCCGAGAACCATGGTACCCTATGCAGTCCATCCTACCCACTGTTCCTGGGACCAAGTGCCAGCTGCTGGCACTATCCCTACTTTATTTTCACCTGAGATAAAGGATGTGAACTTTCTGAATATTATCCCAATTTCCTGCAAACTCATACCCTTTGGACAGCCACCTACTTTGGATTTAGCCTGCTTTGTATGGTTATTCCAGAGAGCATCCCACAGGAATATCTGATACAACCCGTCTTTTTCTTAGGGTCATTGCAAGCAGTAGATCATTCCCAAAGCTGTCTCACATCTACCTTTCACCCAAGTACAGACTGTTGTTCATGCATCTTTAACCTAGGGAGAAATGGTTGAACGGGAGACTAAAGGCAATCCACACCACTGACCGATAATTCTATAGTGGTTCAATTAATAACGGGCTATTTTGTACTGCTAAGTAAAAAGGGCTTTTCTTCCCATAAAACACAGAAGTCAAGAAAGTGACTCCTCCTAATGAAGGGACTCATCAAGACTGCTCTTAGCGATGGATGATATTTCATTCTCAGTTCATACTTCAAAAAAAAGATTTAAAAGGTGTGTGTGTGTGTGTGTGTGTGTGTGTGTGTGTGTACCCACAGAGAGTAGAAAACACATCGGATCACCTGGAGCTTGAGTTACAGGCAGTTGTGATCTGGCTAATGTGGATGCTGGGAATAGAACCTGAGTCCCCATCTCTCCAGCCCCAACCGGTACTTTTTAACGACACAGAAATCCAGTCCCTCAGGAGCGCTGTCTGCTTCCTGAAGATGGCTTTAGTACAGGAAGGTGTTTCCCTCAGTTTGTATCAGTGGTTGGGTCTGTCTCACCCACACACGCTAGGGCATTTGTCTTTGCCGATGTGTTTCCTCCAGAGGCATTGGGATCTCCGTTGCTCATGCCTCAGTTTGGTGTGGTTTTCAGAGGTATTACCATGCACAGCATGTTACACTTATGTTACACCAGGTCTGCAGGGCCTGGCGATTGTGTCAGAAGTGAAGACAAACCAAGAACCTGGCAGAACGATGCCCAAGAGGTCAGGATACAACATATGGCTTTGATCAAATAGCGCCGGCACAGTGAGAGAGCTTGACTGCATAAAAATATCATCCAATCCACAAAGCTGTTACGGACTCAACAGCTAATATATATATTCTACCAGAAGAGTTTTCAAAGTGTCTTTCTTACCAGCAGCTAGATGAAGTTAGGAATGAACAGAAGGCAGTGGCCGTTAAACATCCAGAAACCCCTAGCATGAAGCAGCAGCTAGGGTGGGATGGGCTACTGACCGTCAAGAAGATGCAGAACCATGTTTTGAATGGGGTTCTGTGAGACAAGAGCAGCTGGCTGATCTGAATTCATGTATTCCGTGGAGCTTGGATGGTGATCTGCTGAGTGTGACCCAGGAGTAGGCACCAATGCCTGGAATTCAGGTGAGCAGTGCTTGGGGGCTGCACGAGATGCTGCCCCTCTGAGCCTCAGGAACTCAAACTCCGAAGCGCCTTGCACCTGACGTGTCTCGGATGTCATGTATCTATTTCGCAATGTCGAGTAGAGGCAAGGAAAGGATCTGGAAGGATTCCCTAGGTAGATCTGTGCTCCAAAGCTGACACTGGCCATAGCTTTCAGGATTGATTAATTATATGGATGAGTCTCGTTCCTTCATATATCAACCCCTAATAGAGGCCCATTAGCCAGTAAAATGGACAGAATGAATGATATCCATGGGGCATCATTTGTTCTGGGCTATCTTTTTCTTCATCATTGACTGGGTCAATTTACTTCCCAATCTGTCTTCCTGGTGCATATGTAGACCAGCCTTGCCCTGGCACGCACGGGTTTTCCGGCTGCTTGGTCAGGGCTTCTTATTGATTTAAAACCTTGGGTTCCCATGGAAACTCAGTTCTTCTGCTCTAAGCTAACTCCCCTACAAGGAAAAAAAATCAACACCCAAACTACTTAGGTCCTTAATAGTCAGGGTTGATATATGACCTCTGAAATCTGATTTCAGTTATTAAAGATGATACCGTAAAAGAGTTTCAAAATTAGCCCAGGGGCTGGAGAGATGGCTCAGTGGTGAAGGGCACTGAATACTCTTCGAGAGGGCCTGGGCTCAATCCTGGTACCCACATGGGAGATCACAACTGTTTATAACCCTAGCTCCAGGGGCCCAACACCCTCTTCTGGCTTTTCCAGATATCAGAGATGCAAATGGTGCACAGATGTATGTGCAGGTGAAACAGCAAGCACATAAAATGAAAATTTAAAAGGATGTTAAACAGTTACCCTTTCCTAGAAGTCTACTTCCTAAGGACTAAGATTCCACTGTGTGTTTTAGGAAATAGTTAAGTTCTTTTTTCCATCTCTATCTGTGCATTGGAAGGTACATTCTTAAGACACAATTCCAGGTATGGATGATAAAGATGAAGGTCATCTGCCTACACTAAGTACTTTAGGGACCACTGCTGGAACCTTCACCCTCAATTATCCAGTTATGACTTCTCATTCCCTTCAGCACGCTCCATTTCCTCATTTTGGAACAATATTCATGGTCTTATATATTACCAAATTGGAATCATTTGTAAGTATTTTGGCATACATTTTTAAGTTTAATTCCATGACTTGATAAAGGAGTATAATCCACGGATGCCTTTGATCACATCTTTCTATAAAGATGTATTATTAGCTCACTCTTCAGCAGGTATATACCCTTTTTAATCACACGCTTCCCCCAAGAATTCATTAAAGTACAATTAAAAAATTATAATAGCTTCAAATACATTTCAGAGGACCACCGGGAGGTGAGGGCTAGGTGAACAATCGTGTGAAGGAACCCTATTAGCCTTCCCACACCTCGTAGGAAAAGTCATTCCAATTAACAGAGCATCTGCAGGGAAGAAGAATTCCAGGACAAATAGGCAAATTGAATCTGGAAGCTGTTCTTTCCATGGTTAATCATTGATAAGGTGTCCCAAGTCTCTGGTGTGTTTTCTGACGCCACTAACAGCAAGGCTGCGTTGGAGAGCATGATATCAAAGCCTCCTCTCTGTGTCATGACTACTGAGTCATCACCCACACTAAGCAGCCATCCACAGAGGACCTCGTTTGCTCTCACCAGAGGTGCAGCTCTTCCCTGGGATCTCCACGCTTTCAAATCTCTCAGGCCCGCTTTGCCCCCTGTAGTCAAGTCAGCTTCTAAATCCCAGACCAGCAAGATTCAGATGCTTGAGCAGGAAGCCCCGCCCCCAGCTATGCAAAGGCTTGCCAAAGGATGGACCTGAGCAGGGGTTTCTGCATTGAAGATGAGACAGACTCAGACATGAAGCTAGCATGCTGGATCTTTATTAGAGATAGTCCTAAGAGGTATTATATACATGGAAACAGCAAAAGAAGAGGTGCTGGGCCTTTACCTTGGCTGACAGCAAACAGAACCCTGAAGCTAAAATGGCCGACTGAGTTGCTCTGGATCAAGCCCTAATGGCCTCCACCAGTTGGTTACTATACGTGAGCCAATTGGGTAAAGATGGGACTTCTGGACAGGTGGCCTTTCTGCACCTGACAGCTCAGTACTGATTGAAATGGCCTCCAAGTACCTAGGTCAATAAGTCCTTCTTTGGAGGGAGTTCTGGCATATCAAGTTACTGAAGTGTGTGTGTGTGTGTGTGTGTGTGTGTGTGTGTGAGAGAGAGAGAGAGAGAGAGAGAGAGAGAGAGAGAGAGAGAGAATCACTGGCTTCTAGTGTGTGGTGTGTGCACTTCCACACACCTGTATGCAGGGAACTGGAACACGCCCCAGGACTTGTTTGCTCTTAGACGCCCAGGGAAAGCAGACTTTTAGGAGCTAGACTGAGCTGAGCACCTAGGCCTCAGTGTAGTCATCCGGGGTAGAGGTAGTCTCCTTTCTGTGTGGCCTGTGCACCAGACCTGAGAGACTGAGCATCTGGTCATAGGTGTAAGGCCCTGGAAAGACAAAACTGGGCTGAGGTACTGAGTGATGTCCTGCTTGTAGGCTCTGTTAGTCAACATTCTCCTCATTGCAGTCTGCTATATTCTAGCATGTTCTAGTTAGTCTTGAGAACTCTAAGTGAGATCGAGGGCTCTCTGGGATGATGAGACGTTACCCAGGAAGCTGCCCTGCAATCAGAATCTGGCTTACAGTAACGTGACACACACTATCTGTTTATGATAAGCTCTGCTTGCTATAGGTGACTCCAAACCGTAGTTATGTGTTTCCAAGAAGAGGAGGATGTGCACGGACTCGGTTCCAGTTCCCTTGGGACTAGTTTCACCTCTTCCCCTTACAAGTTCTGGTAAAATTGGGGGAAACCTCTTGTTGGCTCTGACTGGTTAGCAAGCTTGATCTCAGAATCAGATACTGTGGGGAAAGATGCTGTGGCAGAGTGGCCGATTAGGACCTGACGTGTCTCCCCATGGACTTCTGGTACCCT